CCTCAAATCTGTTTACTCTCCAGGGGAAGTCACCCAAGGAACTAGCAAGACATCAAGAAGGGATGTAAAAGTGCTTATTAGGAAGTTTCAAACATATAGAGTGGCAAAGTGCATCACAGTGAGAAATGCGGCTATTTGAATATCGTTTCTAATTTAAAAGACACTTTTAGGCATTTTAAATGATAGTTTCTTGTATCTCTGTCCTTCCAGCGTGCTGTCATCCTGAGAACAGGGGAAGATATTTACATATTATGAAGCGCGTATTTTATTGCTTTGTGTTCCATTTATTGGTATATTTTCATTCCTAAGAGATAGATCAGTTGGAAAAGAAAAGCAGCAACCTCAGACAAAGCTAACATTTTGAGAAGAAATCTTTATTTATATGTTGGAATATAGTGTGATGATTCCATTTTTTTCCATTAAAGCTATGTTTGTAAAATGACAATATTAACAGCTATCAGACTGCTTTAGTAAATAGGCTGCCTGGGAGGAAGAAATTTAATTGGGTTAGAAATCTACCATGACCTGAATGCTTTTCAAAGGTATTATTTTCTGGTAGGAGAGCTTTTGATTATTCATCGCAGGAGGCCAGAATTTAATACGCAGTCGTCCCTGATATCCCAGGGGGATTGATTCCAGGACCCTCTGAGGACACCAAAATCCATGGATGCTTAAGTTTCTTATATAAAATGGCATAGTATTTGTATAGAACCTAAGCACATCCTTCTGTGTACTTTAAATCATCTCTAGATTACTTATAACACCTAATACAATGTAAGTGCTATGTAAATAGTCTTTATACTGTATTGTGTGGGGAATAATAAGAAAAAAATCTGTACATGTTCAACACAGACACAACCATCGTAGGCCTTTCCATCCATGGGTGGTTGAATCCGCGGCTGTGAAACCTGTGGATACGGAGGGCCGACCGTATGTATCCTTTTCCCCCTGCCATTTAGTATCAATTTTCTTGATTTACTGCTCCCCAAATCATTGTGCCCTTCTAAGAGTTGGACAACTTATTTAAAACAAATTGGTAATATTGGCTGTGGTTAAATTAGAATTTGATAACTCACCTCAGGTAGCTCAGGATAGCTCCCTTTAGTATTATCTCTATGCTGATATGGCTGTTGTTAACCTTGTTTGCCAACTGTAAACTACTATAAGGAATGTATGAAGGATATTGGCCTAAGTGTATTAAATTTGATTCATTGTAACAAACATTTATTGAATGCCTACTATGTGTAAGAGGATAACAGAAAATCAAATTTCACAATGGGAAGGTACTAATTCAAACATCAAACTACTGGAAAGGAAAATCAGTAGTCACTCATTTTGGTTAGGTTTAAAAATATTACGTTACATATATTTGTAGATATTTTTAGACTGAATTTTCAAGACTAGATTCCCCTTTTTTGTAATCTTGTGATATTTGTAAGAATTTGATTCAATGTTTATAAGCAGCATGTTTTTCTTTAGAGAAATGTGAGGACATGAAATAAGATCCTAGAATCCCACAGAAAACTCTCCCTGGCTTGTCCCCAGATGTACTTTGCGAGGTTCGTATGTGATGTTTGTGGTTGATAACACAGCAGAGTCTAAGTTTAATGGACTTAGTAATTACTGGGTCATAATCTTGAGTTGCTATTACCATTGACGTGGACTGCAGAAAGGAATACAGAGGCCAAAGGAGCTATGACTCTGTGGAACACAGAGGGGAAGATTGGGTCCAAATCTAAGTTTTCTTTGTGGCAGAGACAATTTTCTCTCTCTGTAGTGGTGCTAGAAGGTATATTGCAGAAAATGGCAAGAGCTCTTCACTGTGAATTTTCTTGGAGGTTCTTCTTTCTTTTCTTCTCCTGTGTTTTCCTTTTTGCTTGCCTTTTCCTCAGCTATGCATTCCTGTTCCAGCTCCAACAATTCCTCATTAGTCAATTCCTCAGGAAACACCTTTGGGAGCTCCTCAATGTCATCCTCATCCACACCCAGGTTAAAGTTGTTTGCCATCTCAATCACAGCCTTGTTGATTTTTGCAACCTCGTCATCCTTGGCAAATCCTTTGAAGTCATGGATGAATGTCTTAAGTGTCTTCTTCCAGATGCCACTCATACACTCCATAATGACATCAGTCCACGCCCAAGCAAGGTTCTTGATGCAGTCATAGATGTTGTAATCCTTCCAGAATTGCATCAGTGTCTTCCTCAGTTGTAGCAATAGCGTGGGCCTTAAAAGCTGCTATAACTCTTTGATTCGTTGGTTGGATCAAAGAGGTGGTGCTTGGAGGGAAAAACACTGCGTTGATATTGGGATGAAGATCATCAATAAAAGGAGGATGTCTGACAGCATTATCAACAATAAGCAAAATCTTGAAAGGTATGTTATTCTCCAAAAGGTACTTCTCCATTTTGCTTGCATAAGCAATTCAGGAGGCATCTTAGAAGAGGAGCTGGGTCATCCATGACTTCTTATTGCTCCTGTGGTACACTGGCAGTGTGTGCTCACTGATATGCTTGAAGGCCCTGGGTTCTCACTGTGCCAGATCACAAAGGGTTTCAGTTTGTAGCCTGCAACATTGCCCCCAAGCAAGACTGTTATCCTGCCCTTAAGAGCCTTGAAACCTGGCATTGACTTGGCCTCCTTATGGAGGAAAGTCCTTTCAGGCATCTATTTCCAGAATAGGAAGGTTTCATTCATATTGAATATTTGCTTTGCCAAGTAGTTTTCCTCCACAATCAGCTTATCTAGGGTTTCCAAAAATTCTTCAGCTGCCTTCACATCAGCACTCACAGACTCATCATTCACTTTCACGCTATGTAATGGATAACGATTCTTGAATTGTTTAAACCACCCGGAGCTAGTAGTTAATTCAACATTGTAGTCAGGTCCAGCCTTTTCTTTCAACATCACAAAGAAACTTTTTGCTTTGCCTGTGATTGTCATGGTGCTGAGAGGGACACACTTCTGTGTCTGGTCTTCAATCCAGGTCATTAGAAGTTTCTCTACGTCTATACAGGCCCTTCTCAAATGTTTGTTAGTCTCATTGCCTTCAATGAAGCAGATCCTTTAACAGCTTCTGTCACTTTGTTCTTGTTCTTCAAGATCGTAGCTATGGTGGAATGGGACATGCCTGACTGGTGAGCAATAACCATCTCTGATTTTCCACCTTCATAGTCCTTAATCGCTTTTAATGTCATTTCCAGGTCAATCACTCAATGTGGCCTCTTACTGGTAACATTAGCAGTGGATTTTGTATGCTTAGGGGCCATGATGAACAAAACAACACAAGATTAAATCAAGCACAAGAGAAAATGATGCAACGAAGAGATGCAGTAAACACGAGATGTGTGAGGCTGCTGCTGGTGTAACACGGCGTACTGTTTTACAGTAATGTTTTTTTAATAAGTAGAAAGAGTACTCTCTAAAATAATGATAAAAGTATAGTATAGTAAATACATAAACCAGTGACATAGTCGTTTATTTTCCTCAAGTATTATGTAGTGTACATGATTGCATGTGCTACACTTTTCTAAGACAGGCAGAGCAACGGGTGTGTTTACACCAGCATCACCACAAACACGTGAGTAATGCATTGCACTATGATGTGACGATGACTACGGTGTTGTGATGGCTACAATGTCACTAGGCAATAGGAATTTTTCAGTTCCGTTATAGTCTGTCACTGACCGAAACATCATTATGCAATGCGTGACTCTAATGAAATAGAAAAGTTTAGTACTATAAACTATATTATCTCTGGGTAGTGGGAATGTGGATGACTGTTTAAAAATACTTTTAAGAAAAACTGTACAGGTGTTACTTTAAAATCAGAAAAACAACAAAAACAAACAAAAAACCTTGCCTTTTAAAAACTGAAATGCAACTTCGCCTAAGAAAAGTCCTTGACGGTAGACCCTGGACGCCTCAGCTGCAGCAGGAAGTCTCTTTGCCAGAAAACTAAAAGCCCCAGCTGCACGTGGGCTCGGGAGCAGTAGCAGTGAGAGCACCCCAGTAGTTGAAACAGGAGTCAGGGAACTGAGAACAAACTCTTTCAAACGTGACTTGGGGCGCTGCTTTCCACCCACCCTTCTGTTTCTGATTTCTGTCCCACGTCCCCGCTGCCTGCTCCTGCTTGCAATTGAATGCGCCACTGATTTCAGGCGCAACATTCCCAAAACCGACTTGGACCTCCCCCAAGTCTTTCCTGATAGCATGGAATCTCTCCCTCAGCAGCTCTTCCATGGTTCTCCGTGCCTCTCTTGGGGCACCTACCTCCTGGTACCTGTATTGCATCGATCTGAGCACCTGTCTTCTCCTGGCAGAATGAGAGCTCCTTGAGGTGGTGTTTTTGTCTACTCATGGCTATCCACCCCAAAGCACCCAGCCCCGTGCTTGTCTTATGGGAGGCACCCAAAAACGTATACAGTAAATAAATGAAAGAATGAACAGATGACTTCTGCAAGTCGCTAGCCCTCTTGACATCTGGACTTCCTTGTTATTTCTTAGCAATGTGGAAAACCACTTTCCCATTCTCTTTTGCCCTGTCAAGAATCCAGGCATGCCTTAGTGAAGATAAGGCAGAAAGAATTAGTGCTGCCTTCTCTGATATTTGTAAACATGGGGTATAGGATGTGCTATCATTTGACTTGGAGGAAGTGGAAAATAGAACTCAGCTAACGATTTCTTAGTCATTAAAAGTTATTAAAGAAAGCAATAAGAGACACAAAAGTAACCATTGCAATAAAATGGAAGCTCTGGCTAAAAAAAATTAATTTAGGGAAGCTAGAAGGGAGAAGATTTAAAGAGAATGGAAGGAGAGGAGAGCTTGCAAGAGAGGAGGTGTTGTCAGAACAGCTGCACTAGGATGACTGTGGAAACCAGAATGCTTCTGTGGGACAATTTCTGACTACACGCTAGTAAAACCACTATTTTTAAATAAAAGGCGTCCCTCTCAGAATTCTGCCCTACTGCATCAGAACCGATTCAGTCGCTGGAAGTCTTACCATTGCTTCTCCTCAGAAATAACTTCCGGGTAGCACTCTTGTATTCCCAGCTCTTCTTCCTGCTGGCCCCCAGGCTGGCCTGTGTCCTGCCTGGAATGCCATACAACTCTCTTGGGCTCTCCTCGTTCTCTGGTTACCACCTGCAATTACAGTCCCCACGAAAGGAATTTACTAAAGGAAATGGAAAAACGAAGGCTCACAGCATTTAACTACTTTCTCAAGAGCCATATTGACTTTGAGAGTGGGCCAGCATTTTGTGCTTGTGCAGAGGAAGCAACAAATATCATTAAAGACTGCATCGAAAGTAGCAACGTATTTAAAATGATAAAGAATAAAGAATAATTTTTAAAGTTGTCAAACTTGCTCATCTTCACCACAATAGATGTCAATATCTCGCTTACCTGGCAATGAAATGTTACGGTGTATTAAAGAGTAAGTGAACCAAGTGGCCCGATGTTCATCGTGCATGTTGGAAGGCTGCCATTTGGGATCATGAAAATGTGTCTACATCGCACCTTAAGGACCGTTTCAATTCCTCTCTCTACCTTTTCTAATACAGTAGAGGACATAAAGATGACAAGGAAATAGTCCTTGTTCTCAAATGACCTACAGTCTAGGAGGGACACAAACACATAACATCCTGTACAAAAGGTCTGAAAATGAGGAAGTAGTAATGAGATGTTCAAATGGAGACTAGGAAGTGATTCATTCTGAGGATGGGAGCGAGGGAACAAAGACCTGGGGGCATGGAAAAGCAGGGTGGGTTTTCAGAGCACAGAGTGAATGGGCATGCCTGTGGCAGAGGGTTTATGGAAACATGTAGTTGAAGATGGTGCCGGAAAGATTATACCTTTTTGAATTTGTTTTGGATAAATAAAAACAACTGAGGTCATTTTCTGTGGCTTTTAAGACACTTATCTTGAAAACTGTAAAGTCATGTCATATACAGCTAAGCAGAGCCCTAACTCAGAGGGTACATCAAGATCACTGTCGTCAACACAGGAACTGGGAGAACAGAGGTCTCTCGATAGCAGTCCAAATGCTGATGGAATTCTGCAGTAGTCAGCACTGCCCGGCATTCCTGACTGTACTGAGGTTTGTTGAGGAACGTGTGCTATGACCCTAAAGGGCTGATCTCATCCCCCAACTTGTCCAAGTGTCTTCACCGGGATCCATACAGATGGCAGCTGATCTTTTACATCATAGTTTAATTTGAGATCAAATGTGCTTTTCTTGGAGAGCACTTTCTGCTTTAAGTCAGGGAATGTTCGGGGGAGCTGAAAGCTGAAGAAGCTGGTGGCTGGGGGAGCTTGACTCCTCCATCTGGGGCGGACCAGCAACAGTGCTACGAGGGAGGCCAGGGTGGTCTTTGGTCTCCTGAACCATAAGGATAATGTCTTATATTTGTTGAGAGCTTATTACACACCATGTGCTCTCTAATTTAATCCTCCCAACAACCCTGTGAGCAAGATTCTGTAATTCTTATTTGGCAGATGAGGAGTCTCAGTTCGTAGAAGTTAACTTCCCTGAAGTCAGACAGTAAGTGCTGAGGCTGGGACTTGAGCACAGCCACTCTGAGTTCTTACTCTCTCATCCCCCTTCCTCGGTCAAAACCTGATTTCAGAAAAGGCCCTAGAGACATAGTCAAGCCAGATGTCAATATGCAGGGAGAGGCAGTATGGTGTAGGGGTTAGGGACATGGACCATGGAATCAATCTGACTTGAGTTTGAGTGCTGGCTCCACACCTTCCCTGTGTGACCAGATGAATGACCTAACTCTCCAACCCTCAGGGTCTGCACCTGTGAGATGCTGCCAGCAGCTGCACATGCCTCACAGACTGTTATAAGTGTGAGATGAAATGATGTGTACAACAACCCTGGCACATGGAAAGTGTGCTCTCAATAAATGTTAGCTGTTGTTGTTATCCAGAGGAGCTGTGTGTGCATTTTCTGCCACTGAGATACTTGTATTTTACCAATCAAATAGTACTTCAGCCAAAAGAAATGAATCAATAGTAGAATTTTTAAGAATCTGTACTCAATTAATTTTTAATTAAGTAATACACGAATAGCTACTCAATTATAAGAAGCTCAAATAATACAGATAGCTAAGTTGCCTTTAATCAGCCATATGGTGGAATTTGACTCATTGTCAATTCTGTGGGGGAGCCCTGTTAAAGGGGCAGAGAGGTCCTTTCTTGGCATGTGGAAGTGATGCCCTGTAGGCTGCCATTTTAGGGGCCAGCTTTCCTCTAGCCTTATAGCGGAAGCATCCTTCTCTCACTGCTACTATAAAAAGCACAGCTGGGAATCATGAGTGCAAGGAATGGAAGCGCCTGGTAGGCAGAGAAGCAACCGAGTTGGGGAGACAGGTTCCAGCCCTGCTCTGCCCCTAACTGGCTGTGTGGTCTTAGCCCTCACTTCTTGATTGTAAACCAAGGGTTTGAAACTAGAGTCATCAGGTCCGTTTTCAGGGGGCCGTTTCACTCGACCCCCCCACTTGATAGGTGCGGGAATGATGAACCACAGCCACACTAAGTTGCCCACGGTCACATACTTAGTAAGTGGTAGAGCTAAGACTGGAAAGAACCCCTCACCCCTACTTCTCGTGGCTTGGAAATCTGTAGCAAACGAGCTGTGAATGTTTTTCTTTGCTTTCTCATCCAATTTCTCATAAATGGGAGCCATTTTAAGCTCTAAAATTCTCCAGCTCTAACACTCTCAATCTTCTCCCTCTCGGGGACTAGCAGAGTTGTTCCAGGCGTAAACGGGTGTAAAAATAAAGGGAGTAAAGCCTCTTTCTGCCCTGGCTTGGAGGATCCCAGTGGGACAGGACACAGAGCATGAGAGAGCTCACCATGAGCAGCTGTCCCGGTCACAAGTGTCCTTCAGCTGTGCCCAGGAGGGTGGCCCTACCCACCCACGGCTGTCTTGGGCCTCTAATAAAAGCCACCAACTGTGGGAATGGGGATAGCAGCCACCTGTGTGGGCCCACCCCTCTCTGTCTTCTTCACTCCCCTGGTCACCGTCTCCACTTCTACCTTCACTTGAGACCTTGCCAATGGCCTTGCCCAGGAAGAAAGTCAGGGGAATTTCTGGCATCTCTCCACCCCACAGGAATGGAAATTACTTCAATGTCTGCCCATGACTCGGGATAACAGAGTCATTATTGCCCCAGTGCAGAATTCTGATCCTCTCGCTGCCACGTGCTCCTAGCCTGAATCCCCCTACATTGGTGGCAGCAGGGTCTGTTTCTACTTAACTGTTATTTGTTTTTGTTATACAGCAGTGATGGCCTGTCCTCCTACAGCCTCAGTTGAAGCTTCTCACTGGCCAATTTGGATGTGTACTTCCTTCATCCAACCCAGAAGAGGGACTCACATACACACAAAGAATGATTATCCAGGGAAGATTTTCAGAAAATAGCCCCAATGTCTGAATTACCCTGAGCGCTGTGGTTTTGTGCTGTTCTCTGGGCTCTGTCACCAAATATACCAGACAAGTAACTTATCACTGAGAAAGACAGAGCTCATAAGGCAAAGTCAGAGAAGTGAGAAAAGGGCCTTCTGCTCCCTTGGAGGAGAAATCTGAGGAGAGAACAAGGAAAACAGACAGTCATGATTAAGCAACCAGACAAGAAGAACTCCGGGGCTCAGTAGACTTGAGTATTTCCTCTCTTAGCTCTGCCATTTACTAGGTATGTGAGTTCTAGTAAGTCACTACCTTCCTGCTTCATCGTTTCCTCATCTGTAATAGGAGAGGGTGAAGTTAAAGGGCACCTTCTGGAGAAAGCATTCAGTTAGCACACCATCTCTTCTCCACACAGGCTGGAGGTTGGGGTGGAGGGAGAAGGGTATAGAAACTTCAGCTATGATCCTTGCCCTTAGGAAATTAGTGATCTTGTTCGGGAGACCAGTATGTGGACTAAGGGTGGTGATAAGTTCATTGTGTATGATTTTGTGCTGAATCTCAGGGCTTATTTCAACCAGAGGACTTTAGAAAGGCTGAAAGCAGAGGCCTGGGAAGCTTTGTGGAGGAAGTAAAACATAGGAAGGGCCTTGCAGGGTGGTTATAATGTAAGCAGGGGCGAGGAGAGAGGAAACTTCCAGGTGAGAAGAGCAAAGAATAAAGACAGGAGCACAGCGTGTATGTGGGCCCAGGAGGGGACCCTGTGGAGTGGAGCAGAGATGCCTGTTGGAAAAAGTAGCTGAATATATTATCCAGCAAGCCTTGAAAGCCACTGGATTCCTTCCTTTTTCTTCATTCGTTTACTTATTTTGTTTGAGTATCTACTACCCTAGTCATTTAGAATCTTTGGCTGAGGAGATTTAAAAGTAAAATGTACACTGAAAGTTTTGTTTTAAGAAGATTTGTTTGTGGTATTAAGGCTTAGAGCTAATATTGATTAAATTAAGAGGGACTGAATAGGCAGTGATTCTCAACCCTGGTGGCACACTGAAAGATTATGGATGCCTGGCCCCTTCTTTAGAAATTCTGACTTATTTGGTCTGGGGAGGGGGTCTGGGGTTTAAAATGTTTTTTAAAACATTGTTGGCAATGTTTTATTATTATTTTATTGTCATTTCTTGAACTTAGTAGTGGTTATATGAGTGCTCACTTTATAAGTATTTCTTTAAATATACATATAAGCTTTATCAACTTTCTGCATATATGTTATATTTCACATCTTTAAAATGTTTAAAGAACAGTAGAAAAATCAATATAATCATCATAAATATACATGCACCTAACAATAAAATCTTGAACTGTATCAAATAAATAGGAAAAAATACATAAATTAACAATTGTAGTTGTAGATGTTTTAACATGCATCTCTAAGAACTGTAGATCAAATAGAAATAAAAATAGCATGAATACAAATGAGCTGAAAATACAACTTAAGAAATATATGTATATCCAAAATAAACAGAAAACAGACATTCTTTTTGAACATACATGGGACATTTACAGCAGTAGACCATGCATTAGGCCATAAAGGAAGAAGCTTCAATAAATTCCAAAGAATCAATCCCTTTCAGACAATGTCCTCCAATTATAACGCAATCATGGAGTTAGTGTTTTTGAAAAGATAGCTAAAATAAAATCCCACATGTTTAGAAATTAGATAACATATGATTAAATAACACTTGTTTTAAAAAAATTAATATTTACAACTAAATAAAACACTACATGATAGAATTTGTGTAACAGGTAAAGCAATACCTAAAGGCAAACTTACAGCTTTAAATACATTAATGAACAAGAAAGGTTAAAAACAAATGATTTTCCACAATGAGATACCACTTCAGACCCATTAAGATGACTACTATCAAAAAAACAAGATAACAAGTATTGTGAGGATAATATGAACTTTTTAATTAAGGTATTATTTGTATACAATAAAATGCACCATCCTAGAAGTCAGATTTTTTAAGGTCGTGAATTCCGAGGTAAGGGATTTGGATGGCCAGAGGCCATATGATGCAATAAAAAATTCAACAGACTTGACATTGAATTACAGTCCCATCATTTGCTAACTATGTGATCTGGGACAAATTATTTGAGTCTCAGGGCCTCATTTCCTCATCTTCAATGGCAATAGGACTACACCTCCAGGGAAATATGGAAAGGATCAGATAAAGCGTTGTACATCGACCCCATGGCGTAATGGTTAAGTTTGGCATGTTCCGCTTTGGCAGCCTGGGTTCGTGGTTTCAGATCCTGGGCACAGACCTACACCATTCATCAGCCCTGCTGTGGCGGTGACCCACATATGAAGTAGAGGAAGACTGGCACAGATGTTAGCTCAGGGCTAATCTTCCTCAGCAGAGAACAAAAACAAAACCAAAAAAATTTGGCACATAATAGGGACATAAGAGATATTAGTTCACTTTCCATTTTACTCATCAGAGTCTTCAAGGGTGGGAGCACAGTCTCTGCATGTTTGAAAAGCACCCTGGGTGGTTCTGACGTACAGCTAAAGTTTTGAACAGTTGGTGTAGGCAGTGGGAGTCATGGCAGGCTTTTGATGAGGAAAATGGCGTGATTAGAGCTATACATTAGGACTCTTTGTGGTCTGTGGTGGCATTCACTGGCCCTGGAAGCCTGGGAGAGTGAGGAAATGCAGAGTGTGGAGAGCAGGTGGAGGATCTGATTTGGAGGGGACAGGGATGAGCTTGGATTTAGTTCATGTTTGTGTATTCATCAACAAGGAAACATTGATTCAGGCCTACTTTGAGTGAGGTTCTGTATTTCACACAGGGATAAATACATCCTCACTTCCCTGACTCGTGTCTTGAAGAACAACTCTTGGACGGCTTTCTGTGGCCTCTCTCTTCCTTGTCTTCTGGCTGGCTCAGTGGTGGTGCTGGTAGCAGCAGTTCAGGAAAGTTTTGGGGTTTCCAGTTGACTATGGGGTACAGAGCTCTCAGCCACAAGTATTCCATTGGGGTGGTAGTTCAATGGCTTTTATCTTTCCTTTAGGATCTTCTTGCCTGGAATCCACAACCACTTCCTAGTCTAGATCTCATTCTTAATAAAAATCTCTAGACTCAGGTTCTGATTGTTCTTTTTTATAACACTAGGGACTTCCAGGCAAGGTAGGAATAGACATGAAACCACCATATCATTCACCTAGCATGACTAGTTAGCTGTAACAACTGCTACCAGAAGGGGTTGCACAGAGTTCCTGCTCATCTTTCCTGGAGAGTTGACTTCGTGGGACAAACACATGCCACCTTGGAGGACTTATACCGGCTGCCTATCATGTTATCACAAGAGGATAACTGTTGCGACACACTGAAAGAAGGAACAAATATCCCTGGCAGGCAAGCAGGCAGCTGTATAACTTATTTTGTTCTCAATAGGCCTGCATGTCCCTGGTTTTCTTTGACTTTAGGTACATGGTCCCATGAGAACCATGATAGGGAGAATTAAACTAGGCAAGGAGGTCAGAGAGGGTCTCCAAAGAAGAGACAATTGATGTCAGATTGGAAGGAAAAGTGGAAGCTAACTAGGGGAAGGGTGATAAGCTTAGATGTTGGAGACAGCAGGGTGGGTGGAGAGTCTTCAGCCGTGTGAACAAAGGGCAGAGCATGGAACAACTCAAAACATAACTAGCACTGTACAGGATGAAGTTGGAGAGAGAGGTAAGGAATGGACTAAAGCATACAGCCAGGGTAACTTCATCTTTATCCTAAGATCAATGGGTTAGCACTGAAAACTTTTTAAAGCAAGGAGGTAAAATAATTAAATTAATTAGATTTTGGAAAGATCATGTGGCTGCTGTGTAAAGACAGGTTAGAGAAGGGCCAGAGGACTTTCAGGAGTAGTTCAGGTGAGAGATGACTGTAGCTTGGTCTATGAGATATACTAGAGGTAGAAATGAACCAAAGATATAGGAAGCAGATTTGATAGTCCTTGGTACTGAAATAGAAATGATGATGTGAATGAGTGGAAGTTATTAAGATTGACTGCCTATAGGTGGGGACAATTGTGTCCTGTTGTCATGTAAACTCCACAGGCCTAAAGTGGAATATCTCATTTTTTCTCCACATATCTCTATATGGCTTGCTATAGACTGACTGTGTTCCCCCAAAATTCATGTTTTGAAACCTAATGCCCAATGCAATGGTGTTAGGAGAAGGGGCCTTTTGGAAGTGATTAGGTCATAAAGGTGGAGCCCTCATGAATGGGATTAATGCCCTTAGAAAAGAGACCCCAGAGAGTTCCCTTGCCCCTTCCACTATGTGAGGACATGGTTTATGAAGCAGGGAGTGAGCTTTCACTAGACACTAAATCTGCCGGCACCTTGATCTTGGAATTCTCAGCTTCCAGAACTGTGAGAAATAAATGTTTGTTGTTTAAGCCATCCAGTCTGTGGTATTCTGTTATAGCAGCCCAAATGGACTAAGATATGGCCTTTATCTGCTAATGACACAATCATTTTTCTAGTCATTTGATCTAAAATCTGGACGTAATTTTGAACCTCTAACTTTCTTCTATCCCCAAATCTAATTGGTCACAAAGTCCAGAACTTTCTCCATTTGCAATGTCTCTTGCATCTTTTCCTTTATTTTCATTGCAATTCAGGCTCATTGTTATCTGAAATACCTGGTCTCCCAACCCTGGTCTCCATCTTGAACACTGTGACCCCGTTAGTCTCTCTCCAGCATTGCTTTCACTATTCTATTCCTTCCACAGAACCTTGCAGTGATTCCCCATTGGCCCGAAGTGAACTCTGAATGCCTTGGTTTAGAATTCAGGGCCTTCTGCAATCCGTTCCCAGTCATCTACTTTGCCACTCTCTGCTCCCCTATACTAGTAGTTTAAAAACTGTTTTAAAGTTACAGAACTCTTTGTTCAAATGGACTCTTTTGTTCAAAAACATGGCAGCTCCATAAGGAAAGCATGTGAGTGGAGCTTTTGGTTGAAGCAGGATGGGAATTGAGTTCCTCTCCCTGCCCATTGCCTCCTTTCCATCCCTACCTGCTTTGTCCCCTGAGATGAGTCTCTTCAGATCGTTGTGTGAAATCCATCACCCTCCAGGAGTGCTCTTAGGTAGAAATAGGTGTTCTCCTCAAGTAACAAGTGGGTCACTGAACCCAACATGTGTTTCCCTCCACGGGGCCTCTAGTCTGCCTCTCTTCTGGTTGTGTCCTCATCAGGCAGGGACTCTGCCTCATAAAAGGCCCCCTCTGTGACGTAACATGGGCATCCTCACCACACCTCTGTAGTGAGCATGACAGCAGTTTTAATTGTACTGCTTCTTGCAGCATCCATCGAGAAGCGAAGGTTATCACAATGAACAGCCCGGTCAAAGCAGTTTTATGGGGATTGTCCAATATGGTTCAAGCACTTCCTTGGTCTGATTTGATCTAGAAAGTGTTATATACAGAGCAGTGCTTTCCAAACCTGGGGATGGGGCCCTGGAACTTGTGTTTATAAATAGCTCCCTGGATTCAGAACAAGTAAAATGAGCACTAGAAAGCAGCTAAGTAGGATGGAGATTTTAAGTTGAGTCCAGGGGAGCTGAGAGGATGGCGACACTCAGTGATAATAATATGATAGTGTTCTATGTGGGTATCATATTATAATTTACAATGTATTTTTCTCTCGAAGGAGCAGAAAAGTTGGAAGTGCAGAAGAAGAAGTAGGTTTGCAGGGGATCTTCTTGCTTTAAATTTTGAGCAGATGGAATTTATAACACCTGTGGGCCAGCTAGATGCAGCTCTCCAGAAGGCAGTTGGAAATTTGGGTCTGGGACTCAAGAGCGAAGGGCCGATGGATGTAAGTTTGGGAGTCCTCTGCATAGAGGAGATAGTTGAAGCTGTGAAAGGGGGTGAGCTCTTTAAGGGAGAGAGAAGAGTGAGTCTGTGTGAAGTGCCCTACATTCCAGAAGAAGGAGCAGAGTGAACAAAGGAGGTGGAAGATGTGGCCAGAAAGGTAGCAGAGGAAGCTCAAGTGCAGTCTCTGTCCAGGGAGGGAGGAACTTCAAGAAGGAGGGAGTGGGTGGTCAACAGGGCTCATATCAGCTGCAGTTACTGAGGAAGATGAGGGGTGAGAGGGGCCAGTGACTGGAATTCAGGATTGCCTTGCAATTTTTGAAGGAATATGTATCCTGGGGAAGGGGGAAGAATTGTTTTCCATGGGCCTGAGAGCTGAGTGGGAAGTGAGGGGTCCCCCTTTCCCTCCCTGTACTCATAGAGAGAATTTCGATCGGAAAGCCTCCTGACCACATTCTTACTCTCACTTTATAAAGAAAATAGCATGTTTTGAAGGAATCCAATTACCCAACAAAGATTGAGTAAACTCAGAAACACTGATTATTATGGGTGATCTGAGAGTTGAGGTCCTTCAAAGGAGAGTTTTAACTCCTTTTTTGGGGGAAAAATTTGAAGAAGAGATTTTTCAACCTTTAAGCCTTTACGTGTAATTGAGGTTCAGAACCCTTCATTGCTAAATTCCTGTGAGAAATTTACCTCTAAACCTTTTAATAGGCACCTTCAAAGTACCATCTCTTTTGATGTATGCTTGCTGGCAAAAGGAGGGTCTCGAGGATGCTCTGAATCTGGATGGTTGTTTCAAATGAGCTAGAGAGGCTTGAAACCACGGATTCAGAGTGAGATGTTTCTGTGATGGGGATGTGAGAATAGGCCTGTTTAGGAGTTGATGTCATTTTCTAACTATTAGAAACTTGGTCCTTTTTGTTTCTCTCTTTCCTCAGTACATATATCTATACTGAGAAAGCTCTTTCTAGGACAAATTTTATTTTCACAATGAAAATATTGTGTATCAAATATTTGTTAAATTGAACAATTGTTGATTGTATTATTTAGCACTGTCATAATTTTTTTGCATTCTTAATCTTCATTTTTTATTTTGTCTTTTTATAATGAAAAATTTCAAATAATACAGAAAAGTAGAAAGAAGAGTACAATGTACATAAATTTACCTAGATTTAACAGTTCTTAATATTTTGCCATATTTGCTTCATATGTAAACATTATATATATGCACATATATATAATATTTTCCTAAACCATTTCAAAGTTAAAATACATACACTCAGAAGCTTCACCTCTAAATACTTCAGCATACCTTTCTAAAAATGACATTCTCCTACATAACCCCAATACCAATGTCACACCAAACTAAGCTAATAATTCCCCAGTCTACATTTAAATTTGTCAGTTTCCCCCAAAATGTCCCCAAATGTCCCCATTGTCCCAAAATTGTCCCCAAAATGTCATGTATATCTGGTTTGTTCAAAATAGGATCCAATCTAGAACATCTCTCTTTTTCCCCTCCCCTTCTCCCAAGTATATTGACTTGTTGAAGTGATTGGGCCACTTCTCTTAAGAATGTCCCACATTCTGGATTTGTTTGATGTTTTCCTCATGGTATTGCTTAGCTTGTTCCTCTGTCCTCTATATTTCCTGTATCTGAAAACCATAAAGAACTAAAGGCGTGATCAGATTAAAATTAAACATGTTCGGCAAGAACACTTCATGGTGATGCTGTGCACTTCATATTATTCCCAGCTTCAGAATAATGCAATAACACAATAACCTAATACCTTCGAAGAATCCTGGTTGTCCCTTTCCTATAACGCTGCAGACTTTTCCCACCAGAAGTAACGATCATCCTGAATTCTGTGTTGACCACTTCTTGTATTTTCATTATGGCTTTATCACATACCTATGTATCTCCAAATAATATGTTGTTTAGTTTTATATTTGTATAAATGAAACATATTGTATGCATTCTTTTGTGAGTTATTTTCATTCAACACTATTTTTGCAATTTATCCACATCGAAATAGGAAGCTATGGGTCATTCATTTTCATATCTGTTTAGTATTCTTTTGTATGACTATACCACAATTTATTTATTCATTCTACTCTTAAGAGACATTGGGTTGTTTCCAGTTTTTACTTATTACAAACAGTGCTGCAATAAATGTCCTCATACGTATTTGTGGTCTACATATCCAAGAGTTTCTCTAGGGTATATATCTAGGAATGTAATTGCAAGGATGTATAGTATACGCAAGTACAACTTGGCTAGGTGTATCGATCAAGGTACAGTTACAAAGAACACAATACACTCTAGCTCATGAAAACAGAAAGGGATTTATTATAGGTTATTGATTGTTTACAGAATTATTGGGAGAGTCAAAGGGACAGACTCTAGGCTGAGCTTCCAGAAATCATTCCCAAAGCCACACTCAAGGACTGGGCCACCAAGAAAGCTACCACTTTTCCCTTCATCAGGAAGCTATATTTTGAATTGGAAAGCTGCCAATACAGTTCTGGCTCCAAAGCCACACTGCCTTAGGTACAATTAGGAAGCCACTTCAGCTAAATCAGGAAGCCACTGTTAGACCTGCTGGCTCCAGAACCAAGTAGCCTCTGCTCTGAAACCACCTTTTAAAACTGGGAAGCCACCACTATAATCCCTGCCAGCAAAGCAAATGCCCTGAGCCTTGCCTCCCTCCCCACTTAACTCAGTTCAGGTCTCACTGGGCGCATTGGCGAAGTCGCGCCTTAATCATAGCCAGAACCCTCGCTATATGGGTGTCTTGGAATGTAGATTTTAGTTTTCTGCACTTTGAAATATAGGATGGCACACTAGAAGGAAGTTGGAATAAAAGTTGAGCAGACCAGTTCACAGTAATGTCAAATTGCTTTCTAAAGCGGGGGAGCCAATCTATACTCTTGCCAGCGGCGTATGAGAATATTTGTGGTTCTATATTCCTTGCCAACGCTGGGTTTTGTTGGATTTTTGTTTTTGAAAAGCCATTTTATTGTCATCCTAATTTGCAGTTCCATGATTAATAATGAGGTTGAGTGTGTCTTCATATGAATATTGGCCATTCGTGTTTCCTTTTCACAGATACCTCTGTTTATGTTTTCTGTATATTTTCTGTTCTTTTTCTTTCTTATTCATTAGGATTCCCACATTTTCTGCACAAAGATTCTTTGTTGATTATATTTTACAAATATCTTCTCAGATTGAAGCTTGTCTTTTCACTTTTTAAATGGTGATTTTACCAAACAGAAGTCTTATTATTAGTCAGTTAATTTTTTCTTTACGGTTTGTGCTTTTTTTGCTTGTTTAAAAATCTTCCCTATCAACAGATCGTTAGAATATTCTTTTGTATTTTTTAAAAATGTTTTAAAGTTTTACTTTTCCTGTTTTAGTTCCCAATCCATCTGGAATTGTTTCTTATGTGCGGTGTGAAGCAGGAATCCATTTTCATTTTTTTCTATATGGATAACCTTTTTGATCTGAATGCCAGATCTATCAGATATCTTGTTTTGATTTGTGTGGATCAGTTTCTGGGTTTTCTTTTTGTTCCATTGTTCTGTTTTTCATCCTTGTATTAATAACACAGAGTTCTAATTACTGAAGCTTTATAATATGTCTTGATTCTGGCGCAACACATTCACCTATCTCAGCCTGTCTTGGTCCTTGGCTCTTCTTTATACATTTTAGAATTTGGTTGTGAAATTCCATAAAACATCTTATTGGGATTTTTATTGGAATTTTATTGAATCTACAGAACAGTTTGGAGAGAAATGAGATCTTGAAGATATTCAATCATTCTATCCATGGAAAAATTTTATCACTCTGCTTATTTAGGTCTTGTTTAGTATCTCTCACCAAAGTTTTATAACTTTCTCCAAAAAGGTCTTGCATGTCTTTTGTTAGACTTAGTCCTTGGTATCTTACTTTATTGTTGCTATTGTATAAACTATCTTTTTAAAGATTGCATTTCCTAACTTCTTTTTTTGCTGGTATGTAGAAATGCAGTTGATTTATATATTGATTTTATTGCGTAGCAAACTTACTAAACTCTTTTATTAATTCTAATAATATATAGATAATTGGAAGTTTTCTATGGAGAACATAATATCTGCAAATAATGACAGTTTGGTTTCCTTTTTCTTGAATCCTTATTCCTTTCTTTATCCTGGCCTTAGTGCACAGGTTAGGAAGCCAATACAGTGCTGAGTAGAAGTGGGGATGGTGCGTAACTTTTTATTATTCTTGATTTTAAAGAGCATAGGTTAATATTTCACGATTGAGAACAAGGTTTGCTCTCGTTAATTTGAAGATACC